AATTTTAGCTTATAATCATACCTCCTTTATTTGAAAATGCAATAAAATTTTTATTTTCACATGTTTTCTCAAAAAATTTTTTTTTTATTAAATAATGCTAGATCACAGTAATTAGAAAACAGCAATAATTAATTAGTACAAAACTTATATTCAATAAATTTTTTTTAAAAAAAATTTATAGTATGGCTGAACCAGGTTTTATTAAAAATTTAAAATCATACATAATTACAAATATGAGAAAACCCTTCACTTCCACTATGCAATAGGAATTTCCTGGCATATTTGTATTAAATAATACTTCGCACCAATAAGAAATAAAATGAAAATAAAAAAAAAATAAAAATAAAAATAAAGGGAAACAGTCAGTAATGAAACCACTCTACAAATTATTACACTCCTAAAATTAGGCTTTACTGATCATTTTGTATGGAATTTCTCAAGATACTTCTAATTTTTTTAGCATCGATCTAATATCAGCTAAAATCGTAAGTTTATTAATACCGTTTAAATTCTTGTCAATTTTTTTGGCTTGCTTGGTTACCTTAGTTTTTTTACTTAACTATGTTGTATTAGTAAAATTCTGAAAGACCTTAGAATTATTATCTTACTTCATCTTCTGATGGCAGTTTTTTTTTTGCTTTAAGTTAAAAGTAAAGTATCCTTTCCAATTCTTTTAAGCTGAAAGCTTTATTAAGAACTTTATCCAAGTCAGCCTATGATTCATAGTAAGTAATCAACTTACAGAATACAGACACTCCTATCTTGAATGCTTTACATCCAATAGGTATAAATATAAAATAAGCAGAATTAACCAGATATAAAGTTGTAATAATGGTATAGAAGCAAAAACTTCTATTAATACTGCCTGAAATCGTTTCCATTCTTTCCTTTGTTTGAGATTCCAATTAGTTAGAAACTATTGTATGGTAAACTTTCAAGTGGAGCAATCCAAGTTCCACCATTCTATAGATCTATAGCCATCTCGTTGAAATCAACTAACACTGTAACAGTAGTGTATTTCTATTGCGATTTAAATTTAATTGCAATTACTAGGATCCTAAATATCTAATATAAAGGTCATAATAAACTTTTAGCCAAAAACACCTCTTTTTATTGAAACTTAAAAATTCATTTTTGTAAATATCTCAGCATCCAGTGATTCAATTTTAATGAATTTTTTTTATTTCATAGCCCTTATTTAGCTCTACAATTTAAAAAAAATTCATCAAAATTGGACTACTGGATGCCAAGATATTTACAAAAAACAATTTTTTGAACCCTTGAAAAATGGGCCAATTTGCCAAAAGTGTGATTTATGAAAACTACTATGCCATGTTTACTCCAAAAGTATGATTTGTGTACTTACACGCCTTTCATCTCTTTACCTCCTCCAACCTTCAATGTATCACGTAACTCTGGAACTGATTGTTTTATTATGGATCATATTGGTATAATCACTTTATAGGTTTTATGGGTCATTTAACAGTGCTACTTAACAACTGTTTTTACAAGATGAAATGCTGAGTTTTATATTAGGTGCACTATCTGTTGTTTTATTAGCATAGTTGCATTTACTTTGATTGAAATATATCAAGGGAAATGATCTAGAAAGATTTAGTATAAATTGATATTTTATTTTATAGAAGTCATTTATTGTATTTCTTTTTAGGAGACTATATAATTTATTTTTAGTTAGTTTTTTATTTTTAAATTTTTTTTTTCTTATATATATTGTAAATTTTGATAAATTATTATTAATAAAAATAAGGCTACTATGCCATGTTTGCTCAAAAATGTGATTTATGATCTGTTTTGGAGATATTTGGATCCTCAATTACTTGATTCCAAGTTTTTAAGTAATTAAGTATGTCAAGTTAAATCCATCTAGAGAGAATATCATAGACTGTAATTTCACATATATTATCCTTAACTTCAGGATCATATCCAGTTATCACAGTGCTAATAGTCTTAAGTGTTAGTGTTACTAGTTGTTTCATAGTGATCATAGAATAACTCTTACTAGTAGGACTAGCCTTTAAAACTTGCACAGTTTTCCTTTTCTTATCCTTTATAGGAATAGGTGAATTCAGTTTACTAGAGTTACTATTTGAGTTCTATTTAACTATCTTTGCATAAGAAATTTATCCATTCTTTTCTTAGGAGTAAAAGGTATAGCTTTTGCATTGAAAGAAATAATTAGTTTCTCAGGTTGTGCAATATTCACTGATTGGTACATTGAATTTTCTAAAATTTCTATATCTATCAGTTGATTCTCTACTAATTTGGTTTATTGTGATAACATTATATTATGACTTATGAATCATACTTTCTGTACTGTTTAGTCAAACTTATTGACAACCAAATTTCTAAAGTACACAGAAACTTCAAGCAAAATAAACAGAAAGTGATAAAACTTGGTGAAGTCTTTCATACTAAAAATTCTAAGAGTATCTTAAAACTCTAAATATATTATTTATAAGAGAGTCAAGTCTTAGTTACAAATATCTTTAACAGTCTTTACTATATTTTATTCAGTAAGCTTTTTTAAGGAATATTTTGTAAGATTAAACCTATAAACAAGTTTAAGAACTTATATTTAATAATACAAAAAGTTCAATCTATATAAATGAAAGTAATATAAAATAAATAATGCAATATAGTTGTATTCAGATATTCTGATAATTGTTAATAAAATATTTGTTTACAAAATAATTCTATTAGTAAAATATATCAGTGAAATAATTATTAATAAAATAATTGTTAGTATAATAAATGTAACCTATTAAGTTATTTAGCTTATTATAAAATTACCTTTCTTTTTAATCAAATTTAATAGCTAATTAAGTTATTATATTTATAAATGGAGTTTGCTATTTATCACTGGTGGTGATTATCACCGGTATTACAATTTTTTATTTTTCACGTGATTTAAGATCAATTTAACATTTTATTGTTAAAAAATATAAAATTTTATTGCGTAACAGTAAATCATGCGTCTAATAGTAATTATTATTTCAAAGTTTTTTTTTCAGCCGATTATACAAGAAATCAAGAATACGCAACTAACAAATATTTTACATTAAACTAAACTTTAAACTCCACTCCTACTAAATCTACTATGTCAACTAAAGTTTAGTTATTATTTTCTTTATCAACTAAGTCAGCTTTATGTTGCCTACAGTACATCTTCTAATATTATGCCCTTTTTCCAGACAATAACTACAGGTTTTAGAAGATGAAGATATATGTTGATTATTGTTCTCTTCAGTTGATGATTTATATCATTTCGAAGGATGACCTTTTGGCTTGTGATATTCTGGATTTGATATTTTCAGAATATTACATTCTTCCACTACAACTAATAGCTGTCGCTGGTAATTATAGAAGGATTCTTGAATTTCATCATTAAAATGTGATATAGAATGAACTTCCTCTATATTTAATCCAGTATTATGATGATATTTCGTAATGAATTGGGTAAGAAGTCCGATCAATTCTGATGTAACACCTTCTGCTACAGCAACTTGAACACTTGTCTTTGCTACTAACATAGTAGAACCAAACTCAATCTTTTTACTAACTTTTTCTTTAATATTTGACGTATAAACATTTGCAGACCGAATTTGATCAATATAATATAAAGCTTTGGTGGTATAATCTTTATTTCCTTGAGCAACTATAATATAATTAGTTGTTTCAGTTGGTATTGATTCATACCAATGTGGATGAATAAACCCATATGAAAAATAGCTTTACTAAACTGAAGAAGAACCCGATATTGATGTCGACATGGCATTCCTTGATTGATAATATACATACATGTACAAAATAATGTTGAATCTTTAAGAATTACTACGTAATTTGGTGTAGATGTTGATGATGTTACAGTAATATAATAAATCTCCCATATTTCTTGGATTTTGTCACTGTTTATATCTGATAAGAGATCTTGTAATCTAATTTGCGGTTTATCATATATACGTTCAATTATATCATTAGACTGCTCATTATCAGATTCTTTAACTTGATCAATTGAAATTAATATTCCCTGATATAATAATGACTGTTTCATTTGAGCTTGTTGAAGTGATAATGGAATAGGTGCTAAATGATCCTTTAAAATAGAGTCAATATTTTTGAAAATCGTATTATACATTATCGGAAGACCAGTTGATGGATTTGACCCATAATATTCCTTAATTCGACTATATTGTGCTTCTTTGTCCAGTTCATTTTCAATGACTTTTACTAATTCCTTTAATAAAGTTCCTCGATCTAAATGTTTTTTAAGAACACTATTAATGGATTCAACTCGTTGAGTTGACTCAACACCTGCTGTAAATACTTTTAAAATCGTGTATCTTGCCCATAATTCACGACTAGGGTAAAGTTTTTTTTCAAGATAAGATCGACACGGCTCATACTTTGTGAGCATTTTGGTGTATCTTGATACTCAGTGTAACTATTACGCATATGATAAAAATCTTCAATAAAATTCTGAACCATATCGTTACGTAGTAAGGCTTTGGCTTTCTTTTTTATATTTTCCGCAATGTGATAAATATATAACAAATGACGCGTTTGTGGATAAACAACTTGAACAGCAGCTAGCATTACCGAATTCCCGTCTGTGTATAATACACGAGGTGAAAGATTATTTGTTACTTTTAAAGTGCATTGTAATATCCAAATATAATCAGCTTGTGTCTCATACTTCGTAAGAGCTTGAGCAAGAACTCTTGTTTTAAAATTATTGTCAATTCCAACAAATAAGCTTAGCGCCATTTCGTATTTATTCATTTTTGCCGTATTATCATGAATGACAACATCATGAAATTTAGGCCAAAGTTCATTACGCTGTTTACTTGTTACCCAAAAAAGACTGGTAAGTTCATTAGATGGCCCTTCTAAGTGTGGTATTACTACATAATTAGAATCTTCTTCATGTTGTTTTAAAAGATATAGGAACATTGTAGCAGCATCAGATTCGTCATGAACCCGAACACCTCGAAACTTTTGGATTGCGTTATAGAGGTTTTTTTTTTAATATGGTACTGTAGAAACTCATGAACAAGAAGATCATATTGTTGTCCTGCACTTAGGTTACCCTTTGTAGTATAATGTTCAATTTTATCTAAAATTGATTGTGGAAAGCGTAAGTTTTTAGGAGCTAACTCTATTGAAATAGGATCACATTGATGATTATGGCTATTGTTAAATTTTGTAAGATGTATATCAGCAGCATGTTTGCCAAAATAGAAGTTAGCTTGCCAAGGACAGTTTGTTTTAGTTGAACTACTCTCATGATATAATGTAATATCCTCCACTTTTTTGGATTATTAATTCCAGCTTTCCAACATTGATAAATATGACGACGAGTAATAGTTTTATCAATAATAACAAGATCTTTACGAAATTTAATAGCAACAAAACCATTGTTTTTTGCAAACGTATTAACAGCAGTTTCAACTGCATTCCAATCTTTGAAGGTATCGTTAACATTTAATATTTCAGTTGTAATTGTTGTATCATTAATATCAGCTATATTATTACCATTCATATTATTTTGTTCACAATCAGGTTCAGTAATTATATCTAAAGATACCGCTACTTGCTTTCCTTTATTTGTTAGATGAAATTGGTCAGATGGTTGGCCTTGATATTGATATTCATAATCCATCAATTGAAGCAATTGGCCTTGGTTTTGATATTCATAATCCATCAGCTGAAAATCAGATGATAATTGGCCTTGATTTTGACATTCGTAATCCATCACTTGATGATCAGATGATGGTTGGCCTTGAGTTTGATATTCGTAATCCATCAGCTGGAGATAAGATGATAGCTGGTCCTGATTTTGATATTCATAATCCATCAGCTGATCAGATGATGGTTGGCCTTGATCTTGATATTCATAATCCATCAGTTGAAGGTTGAACGGTTGGTTTTGATATTCGTTATTCATAATTAATATTCGTAATTTGTAGGTTGATTATCAATATTATGGTGACTGATATCTAACTTTAAAGTTGTTTATGAGACTGGCCATGAAGACAACTGAAGAAGAAGCTTAAAAACCTAAAAAATCGGAAAGAGTATTTGTGGAAAAATCAAGTTAGTTACTCTTTTGTAAAATAAAGTAAGTATTAGTTCTATAAAATTTACTAACTTGTTAAACTTTGATATCTAACTTCAAATTTTTTTTCAGATGCTAACTATGAAGCTTAAAGAAAAGACGTGTCTAAGTCTCTAAGAAAGAAAGTGTTTATGGGAAATGCGTTTGTGAAAAGTATTTGTGGGAAAAGAATAACTTAACGAAACAAACAATGATGGAATAAGTCACGTGATAAAGTGAACTATATCATTAGTAGTAAGATTACGCAAAAATAGTTACCGGTGATGATCACCAGTAAATAAAGTTAAAATCTAATTATATAACACCGGTGATGATCACCCTATGAAAAAAAAATTCTTTAAAATATACTTAAAATGTACTTATATATTTTAAAATATATCTAAAATGTACTTAAAATTTTTAAATGTACTTAAAATATACTTAAAATTGCAATTTTAAGTATATTTAAAGTATGAAATTTTATACTTAAATTATATTTAAAATATACTTAATTGCAATTTAAATATAATTTAAGTATAATTTAAGTACAAAATTTTACACTTTAAATATATTTAAAATTGCAATTTTAAGTATATTTTAAGTATATTTTAAAATGTTAAGTATATTTTAGATATATTTTAAAAATATATAAGTATATTTTAAGTACATTTTAAAGAAATTTTTTTTTATAGGGTCACCGCAGGTGATATGTAGCAATTTTCTATATATTATAATAAAATTGTTAAAAATCATAAAAATTTCATTTTATTTTAAAATTCTAATTTATTTATTTATTATAAAAATGAAATTTCCTTAGATCTTTGATTTAAACTTATAATAGTTTCCATTTCCTAGTAATAAATGGATATTACATAATAATATTATTACAATTTAATTGAATTATTAGTAATGGAATTATAAATAAAACTAAATACTAGAATATAAGATTTTTTTTAAAAAGGTGTTTTTTTATTATTATTTGAAGTGTATGCATAAGATACTTCTATTCTACTGTAAACCATGCATGTATTATCTGTCTGCACATGTGCATGATTAATAAAATATTAGAATTAGATGTAACTTTAAATTTGTTTATGTGTAATCCTTTTTGTTTATATTCCTGATTTAAAATTTCTTAAAAATTTTTTAATTTCAAAAATTTTACATGCTTTTTAATTTGTATTTGTTTTTTTAAAAAAATAAAAATAAATAAAAAATAAAACAATTGATTTGCAGTGTGATTTCTTTATAATATTATAAATAACACATATTTTAAGTCAGTTCTATAAAAATTGAAAATTATAAAAGGATGTATATGACTATATAAGATGTAACTATATAGGAATTTAACTGTATTTTGATTTACTAAAACTAAATTCAGTAAATTCTATCTAATAATTGTAAAAAACAAAATTTAACTCCAGATTTGTCTTATTAAGATATATAATGGAGTTATTTTCCAAATATTATAGATTTATATATTTATTCCGAATTTTGAATATAAAATATAAATATACAAAATTTTTATGTAATATTTATTAATTTTATAATAATAAACAAACTTATTAATAAGCACTTTAGCACTTTATGATCATTACTATATAAAAAATGATGAGAGGTAAGATCAAAAAATAATTGAGTGATCAGTGATCAGCAAATACTGTATGTTCATTCTCCGCAAAAATCACTGGGGCGCGCGTACAATAAACGGAATTTCATATACGATCATTATTTCTATTTTAATAGAATTCAATCGGAGTTTTATTGGTTAGCGCAGTACTATAAACGACAGATACATATAAAAATATCAACTGTACAAGCTCATTTCACCAAAATGACCGATCAATCAATTTTTAACCGTTTTAGAGCAAATGATGCTCCATATGTTGCTTTTCAGGACGATAACGAAGATCATGAAGAGGAATCAAATAGCTATGTTTTACGTCCAACAATACAAAATACTCGGACACGAACTCCGTTATTTCAACCTTTATCAAATCAAAAACAACAACGATACCATCAATTGCCCGAAAACGATGATGAAGAGTTAGCGTTTTCGGATCAGGAAAGTAATGAGGCCCCTCCTTCCTTAATTGTTGAGATGCCTTCTCAGCGTCATAAGAAATTAAACCCAAAACCGGGGATGGACATAAGAGAGCTAACAATGTGGAAATGGGTTAATGTAGAAAATCTCGATTTATTCCTTGCACACGTAAGTTCCCGGAAGTATCTTTTCTGTTTCAATACAGATGTAATTGAATTCATGCTTTTTTTATGACATTACCAGGTTTATTCATATTATATCGGAAAAGGAATATATTGTATTTTACTAAGTCGATTTCTAAATTTATTGTAAATTATTTTACTCACTTATTTAAATAAATTTTAAATTAATATTAATTCATTGTTTATATTTTAGAACTATAGGATTTGTGCTTGGATTTTCAACCTTTTTGCTTGGATGTGTAGATTATTCATTAGTTCGTAGTAGTGATAGCTTGTCGCGAGTTATAATACCAAGTTGTATTGGGCAGTAAGTGTAATTAGTGATTAATTTAGTTAAACTGTGCGAACATTCATTTATTATTTGTTGCATTCTAAGATTATCCGGATGGACAAAACTATTTCTCGTATTAGTTACTTGTATTTGGATATGGACAATTGTTAGATTTGTATTAGATATCCGTGGATTGATTGATATGTACAATTTTTACACGTATCTTCTTGATATCCCTGACGTGCGTATGTTAATAATTTATTAAATATGATTAATACGTGGGTGAATTTTTTTTTCATCTTTTAATTTTAAATAATTAGGCTGATATGCAAACGATTTCATGGCAAGAAGTAGTTTCACGGATAATTAAGATAAGAGACAATAATCCAAATACAAGCCATCAAATTAATAGTCGACCGCAACAACGTTTAGATGCTCATAATATTACTAATAGGATAATGCGTCAAGATAATTATTTAATAGCACTTTTCAATAAAGATTTGTTAAATTTAACAATACCAATCCCGTTTCTCAGAAAGCAAAATTTTTTGACAAAGACTATGGAATGGAATTTGAATTGGTGCGTGATGAATTATGTTTTTAATGACCATGGGCAAATTAGGAAGAGATTTATAAAAGATGTGCAGAGAGAAAAACTAATTCATGGGTAGGTCACTTAACATGATATTTGTGAGATTTTATGAGTGTATTTTATTTTATCAAAGAAATTAAATTTATTTAGGCTACGTAATCGAATTATTTTTATGGGAATTCTTAATTTTGTTTCGGCGCCGTTTATAGTAGTTTACCTGCTTGTATTTTTCTTCTTCCGATATTTTGAGGTTAGATTAATATAATAATTTAGAATTATTATTCATCTTTTATGTTATTATCTTTTGATAATATATGTGTGATTTTTTTTTTTTAGGAATATCGCTCAGATCCTGGCTCTATTTTTGGTTCGCGTCAATGGACACAATTTGCCCGATGGAAATTTAGAGAATTTAACGAACTTTCACATTTATTTCATCAAAGACTAGATAAGAGCTATAAACCCGCAAATAAATATATCGATCAATTTCCCAAAGCAAAAACTATCTTATTTATAAGGTAGTAGTTACATTTTATCATCACATCAATTCGTAAATTCTTATTATGTAAGATTACTAATACCTTTGAATTTTTTTATAAAAGATTTATACTTTTCATAATTGGTTCTTTCACGGCCGTGTTGATTTTAGCTACCTATATTGATCCGGATCTTTTTCTCGGCTTCGAAATTACAACCGGACGAACTGTTTTCTTTTATACTGGAGTTTTAGTACCATTATTTGCAGTTAGTCGTGGCATGATTCCCGATGATCATTTGGTTTTTGATCCGGAAGCTAGATTAAAAAAAGTTGTTGAACATACGCACTATTCTCCTGACGAATGGAGAGGACGATTACATACTGATGAAGTATTAACTTTATAGTATCTTATTTTAGTTTTTTTTGGAAATTTTATAACTCTTAACTTGTTTAGGTTCGAAGAGAATTCATTCAATTATTTGAAGTTAAAGTCGTATTATATATTCAAGAGATTTTCAGTGTTATCTTTACGCCTTTCATACTCTGGTTCTCTCTTGCTGATTGTAGTCATATCCTTTATATATGTGTTATGTAATTAAAACGAACATTTTTTATTTTACCCTTAACTTTTAGCTTTTGGCGTACAGCAAATTATAGATTTCTTTCGTGAATTTACTGTTCATGTAGATGGTGTAGGTGATGTTTGCAGTTTTGCAATTTTTGATTTCAGAAAACATGGCAATGTTAAGGTATTGTTCTTATCTAATTACGTAACGTATTTTTTGATACATATATTGGATTTTAATAATTTCAAATTTTCTATAATAGTATGGTGCACCAGCATCAGAGGTTGAAAACGAATATTATCTTTCGAAAGACGGTAAAATGGAGAAAAGTTTTTTAAATTTTAAGGTGATTAGAATCTATATTGTATCTTTTACGCTATTAAATAAAGAAAATTATTGAATAATTGATATTGTTTTATAATAGGCGAATCATCCAGATTGGGAACCAACAGATCCGTTTGGATCTCTTTATCTTAGTCGTTTAACAGAATTTAATAATCAGGCTCACCCAGAACGTCCTAATGCCGCGCGTACATCAGTAGTTGATTCTATTCTTAAAACAACTAATAATAACAACAAACGCAATAGTAATAATAACGTACATTTCAGTTATCCAATTGGCTCTCAATCAACAACTCATTATACCAATGCCGGAATTGGAGGTGGAGGTGGTGGTGATGACTTAAACTCGATCATGGAAGATGGCCAAACACATGCTGGTCCATCTCATATAACACGAGGATCTTATCGTGGTTATGGTATAAGTAATCCACCCTCAAGCCCATTAAATTCCCCTCGTTCAAGTCAAGAACATTATACTAGTGAATTGGGTGATTCTTTTATATTACCGGGTGCAAGGATAGGTGGAGCTGGAATAAATGAATCAAATGAACACGATAAACCGCGTAATGGTGGAGTAATTGGTTTGTTAAATCAATTTTATGAACTTAATAATTCTTCAATGTAAAATAAATATTAAAGCGAAAAGGGATTTAATTTGTGAATAAATGGGATCGGCCTGAAAATAAACATAAGGAACATTATTTATTACTTTTTTCGAATAAACATCTTTTAAAAACATTGTGTTGTATAGATAGACTTAGACATATTTTTTTGTTTGATTGTGATCCTTTTAACTTTATCGTGCAAAAAAAATTGTATCGAAAATATCCGTCTTAATCACAAAAAAAAGGAGTCCACTGCATTTTTATATCACGACATTTGAATTCCAACATATCTTATTATTTAAATTTAAAAAAAATAAAAAAAATATGTATAAAAGTTAAGTCAATATTTATTAAAGAAAAACCATATATATACATTTATTGAAACAACTATACTTTACTTGCAAAGTTTATTTTCTTTATAGACATGATAATTGGATTAGTGATGTTCTTTCGTTTTATGATGTTCTAATAATAAAAAATATATATATATATTACTTGAATGATTATTAGGGAAAAAACAAGCTTTCTTTATTACTTACTTAAATGAAAATGATAATTAAAGGCATAACTAATAAAACCAATTGCAAGAGTAACATGTAAAATGGGAGCAGGCGAACTAGTAGCAATATACCTTGCATAATACCGTCCAAAAAATCCCTGTGGCTGAACTTTTGGAGCTGGTCCTTTGGGTAACTTCGAATAAAGATCGCTAAGTGCTGCTGTTGAGCCTGAGGCTCCAGTCACTCCACTAACCGAAATTTTTGGTGGAAGAAGAGATTTAATTGCACTCATGTTTTAAAGATGAAATGAAAATGAGAAGAAGGTACTATATAATTTTTAAATTGTATCACGTAACGTTACACTAGATAAAATCAAATATGATTCTGAGGAACCCGTAATAGGTTTTCATTTTAAAAATCATGTTTCGCTCTGGCACAAAATTCTTTAAGAGCTTTCATAGTTGTGCGTCGTCTTTATTATTTTTAAATAGATCAACTGTGGTAAATATTTAGTAGTTATTTCGAAAAAAAACCAGTAAAAATTTGCTAACCATAACTTTTTCAGATAATATCAATTGTTTTTTTTTAAACTTAGCGGAAAGTAGATATAGCTTTTCCTCATTTTCGTACTTATGTTTCTATGTATAATGTACATGTGGCCGGCTTAACCGAGGAACAGAACGAGGTTTGTTTATATAAAGTTAGCTCTTAATAATCTTATTTCGGCTAAAATGATTTATCGTTTAGCTTCGCGAAGTTGTTCACCAATTTTGCCAAAAAGAACTTAGAAATAGAGCAGCTGAAATAGACAAGCAGAATTCTTTTCCAATGGTAAATTTTAGTCTTTTTACCGAATGGAATTATTCAGGCTTAAAAAATTTGAATGTTTCTGTTAGGACATGTGGAAGAAATTTGGTGATATGGGATTACTTGGTATAACCGCTCCTGAAGAATATGGAGGATTAAATAAAGGATATCTCGAACATGTATTTGTAATGGAGGAGATATCGCGAGCTTCAGGTTCAGTTGCTCTTTCTTACGGAGCACATTCAAATTTGTGTGTTAACCAAATAGTCCGAAATGGTAATGAGAAGCAGAAATCAAAATATTTACCAAAGGTACAAATACATGACTCATCACATTTTAGTTATCAAAATTAATCTAATTATACTATTTGGTTAGCTTATTTCGGGTGATTATATTGGTGCGCTTGCTATGTCTGAACCGGAATCCGGTTCAGATGTGGTTTCAATGCGTCTTCGTGCTGAGAAGAGAGGGAATAGTTATGTTTTGAATGGAAATAAAATGTGGATTACTAACGGTCCTGATGCAGATGTTCTTGTTGTATATGCCAAGACAGATCCCGAAGCAGATGCTCGTGGTATTACGGCATTTTTAATTGAAAAAGTATTAAATAGTTTCTGATTTAATTAAATTTAATTAATCATTTTGAGCAGTCAAAGTAAGTTATGAATTGAAAATTTTTAAGGGTTTTCAGGGGTTTTCAACAGGACAAAAACTTGACAAACTTGGAATGCGTGGATCGAACACTTGTGAACTTGTTTTCGAAAACTGTGAAGTTCCTGGTAATTATTTTAGTAAATTTGTACAATATAATTGCGATACTTAGTGTTCTTCTATTATAGTTGAGAATATTTTGGGGGAAGAAAATAAAGGAGTGTATGTACTTATGAGTGGATTAGATATTGAAAGAGTCGTTCTCTCAGGTGGTCCACTAGGGTGAGCCTTCAACACTTGTGTTTTGAAGGTTATTCATTTGTTATTTAGTTATTCTTCATTTATTCAGATTAATGCAAGCAGCACTTGACGTTGTTCTTCCCTATGTACATTCACGACATCAATTCGCCCAACCAATTGGTTATTTCCAATTAGTTCAGGCGAAAATAGCTGATATGTATACTAAACTCAACGCTTCTAGATCATACGCTTACTCTGTAGCAAGAGCTTGTGATAACGGATTTGTTTCTAATAGGGTATTTGACATTCATAATAACTGTTTTTAAATAATACCGTTAAAATTAATTTTTTATTCATAAACGTGAAGGATTGTGCTGCAGTTATATTATATTCTGCCGAACGTGCCACCGAAGTTGCTTTAGATGCAATCCAGTGTCTTGGGGGCAATGGATATATTAATGATTACGATACTGGAAGACTTCTAAGAGATGCAAAACTTTATGAAATTGGTGCAGGAACTAGCGAAATTCGAAGACTTGTAATTGCAAGGTTAGCTGAAGTTTGTATAATAGTTATTGTTTGCTTGAAAAGATCATTTTGTGTAATATATATATATATATTTTTTTCTTTCTTTTTTTGATGTTAGGGAATTCAACAAGGAATTTGTAACCCATTAATTACTTTATTAAAATCATTAATTTAATTATAAGGTTAAGTTAATCTCATAAGTTGTTGTTATCCAAGCATTCATAATAGTTATCTTTGAAACGCGTTTATAAACCGTTTATTTTTAAAATTAATTATCGACCTTCATTTATTTATTTATTTTTTTTTTGATTCATAAGAATAATAATATTACAGTATTATAACTTGAAAGTATTTAATTTATATGTAATAAATAAACGAAAATAAAGTAAGAAAGAAAAGATAAGAACAGTTCTAAGAGGAGAAAAGCCCAAGTTCGCGAATTGCATTTGCCAATCTTTTATACTCCGCTAAAAGTTCTATTAGAAAAATAATTATAGACTTAAATAATTTGAAAATTTTTTGAACGGTTCATTAAAAATAAACATAAATATAACCTGGTACATCATTAACACGAAATTCATCAATTGGACAATCCAAGAATTTTTGAACAGGAGGAGATATCTTATTTACAGATATATCAATCTTTTGTTCCTTATTCTCCTAATTATATAATCCGCAAAAGTTAAGGTTTAGATGACGAAAACAAGAGAATAATTATAAAATAAATTAATACCTCAACTATATGATTACGATCATTGCTAAAGCGCGGCAATACATTAAAAGGAATTAATCGATCTGTACTGTAAACATTTGCCAATTATTAACTACTATAAATTATTTTACTAAAATAAGAATGAAAATTAATAATTACAATGATTTTGTTTCCTCATTAACATTCGAAGACGAGGTTTCTTCAGTGTGTGTGAAGTTATTATTTGTTGTATTTATTTCTGCTAGTTCTTTCGCTCCTACTTCCAGTAAACCAGGATTCATTTTAATATCATTCACATTGTTGTCCTTTGTAAAGTTTCGTTCTGGCAGATCCGCGTTGATGTTTAGTAAAGTTGAATTTTCCTTATCTAATGAATTTGTTCCAATATATGTATTTTCGCTGTAACCGATTAGTCTTCCAAACATTTTAACGGAACTATCCATGACTCCTGTAATAGCTTTTATACTATTATCGGCAGCAACAACAATATCTTGCCCCACTTTGCGGGTTCTTTGCTCTAAACTAGGATTTGCATTTACGGATTCACTAGATTAAATTAAAATAATAGAGCTTATGTTATATAAAATTATCACACTTCCAACTCAACTGTTAATTATCGAATTACAAACCCTGAAACTTTATCTGATAGTCCTAATGCTAAATATTCTACGCTTTCTATAAATTGTACCACCGCCATCTATATTCAAATTCAAATAAGAAATTTATTAAATGAAATGATATCGCAAAAATGAACAGCTATAAAGCTTACAAAATTAGTAAGACAATAAGATGATTCTCCACACAACAAAGTTCGTACTCGATATCTCGTCATAAACCTATAAAATATTAAAACAAAATTATCGAATTGTCGACATTAAATAAACACACTATTGACTTAATATTAACCTCAAGTTTGAAACCAATTTTTTTGGATTTGATTTGACCACTATGAAAATTAATAGTGGGAATATCGCATCTGCATTAGGATCGCTAAAACTATTTTTTTCATCTGTTGGTGAATTAGGGAAAGTTGGTGACATAGGTAATTTTGGTGAAATCGATGTGGTAGGAATATTAGGTGATTTAGGTGAAGTAGGCGAAGGAGGTAGGGGTATTGATGCGGGTGAGACGTCAACGGGAGACGTTACATATGAATTTTCTTCTGTTGCATCGTTTGTACGATCAGAATTTGGAAGGGACTTTTGCAATTTCTTTTTAAGTGCCTCTATATACACGAAATTTAAAGAAAATAATTACTAATTAATATTTTAAAACTCTGTCTCGATCCTATAATGTAAAAAAAGACGTACCAACTACAATTCTGTGACATCGGACGAGACTATCGAGCTTCTCATGGGGTGACTTTTTTTGTTCTAAATTTTGTAATTCCGCACCTGCTGCTTGCACTGCAAAGTCGATACGTTCTTGTTGCTGAGGTTTAATATCCAACCCGAGATTTGATAGCCCTAATTCTAAAAGATTTAAAGAAGCTATCTTTGAACAAAGTGCCTCATCGGCAGCACTATCGTTTGACCATTTTGGACTGAATACACTTTATTCAGTTAATTATTCAATAAAATTAAAAACTAATAAATGATATGGTTTGTTATATAGATTAATAGCACAATTTTCAAATAGTGATGATACAAACTTATCATAAAGTGCCGTGCAAACATATTTTTCAACAATATTCATTGTTTCATTTATATCATTGTCATTGACTTCGGTGAGTTCTCCGTTAGATTCAATTTGATATTCAATTTCATTACGCACACGATCAAATAATCCTTGGATTTGATCAATTGAAGAATCTTCGTTTTTTGGAAGATTCTTTATAAAATCTCTAATAAAGCTAGAAAATGTTCGAACAAATAAATATCAGCTTGCTGATTCCTAATATTTAATTAAAAATAATTCTTTATTAAAAATTCATACTCATCAAGTAATGACTCCGGTAAAGATCCTTCAACCTTTTTCTCCATTTCCGTACGCGTCGAAATGCGCTCTGCAATTTCTTTTGTTCTGATAGGTGATTCTATTACTATGGTTTGAATGGGCATACCATGTAAAAGGATGTCATTATTATCACGTAAAATTTTAATTGAGGGATAATCATAAGAGAGATCGGGCTTAGAAAAAGCTTCAAATATAGATCTATAATATAATTGTATAAATATGAAATTATTCCGTGAATGGCATAATTTAGGCCTAGACAAATTTTCAATGAAAATAATATAATAAAACTAACTTGTGACTCTTGGAATTCTTAATATCAACTGGTTCTGTAGATATTAAACCAACGGCTTTGAAAACATCCCTTGAATATATGAAATTATTTTTGAATATATTACAAGAAAAGCCAAGATATTTACATTATTAAAAAGCATACTCACTGTTGTATAAAACCTTTTAGCCCATTTAAAGTTATCACTTTGGCCCCACCTTCAGTTGATTGAGAAATAACAACATGAGCTTCTAGGTAAATTCGGTCAACATTCTCGAAAGGCGTAACTTGAGACGCAGGAAGTAAAAGTGTCGCCTGATAGCAGCACGAGAAGTGTCCATCCAGAACAAAATTTACAATAATGTGTCAACCAAAAAAGTTTTATTTTGGAGACACTGCAAAACTTAACTTTGATACCACATTAAGGTCAAAAGACATGCAGTCTCCAACCTTTTTTGCAATCAACATATGTACAATATCATCGAAGCCCGCATTCATTTCACGAAGTTTCGTAAGTAACAATCCGCCTACTGAGCCGCCTGGAACGGGATGTATAGAAACTCTAGGCTGCAAAGACGAGGATGAAGAAGTCGAAGACGATCGTCTGCTTCGCTGACTGGACCAGGCTGAAATCACATCACTTTCTTCATCGTCATGGTTTAACAATGGATGGTGTGTAAGAGAATCTGTACTCTTAGCGGGTTTTAAACGAAGATAGGCAAGTTGAGGTAAGTTGATGGTATTAGTACCAGATATAGTTTTAGCCTCAGGTAAAGGTGTCAGAGAGGAAGACGTTGCTTTTTCGTCTGGACTTGATATCGTGTTTTCCTTTTCGTCCATAACTAATAAAAACAAAAGCAAACAGCAATGTACATTAAACTGAAAGATCAGCGCACCCTTTTTTGTGTGCCAGGTTCGTGGCTTGACAAGCCGCACGCGCCACAAACTTTATTTTGGCCAGAATTAAAGATGTTTAAATTAGCCAATCGGAAATCGTGAATTGAATGTAAAATTTTAATTAAATAAATAATAATTATCTTTATTGTATGTATATGGTAATATGGGCAATTTTAATAAAGTAAAAATATTAAAAAATATAAACTTTATTTAGAAATCTTCCAAATACACAAGTAAAATGAAATTTAATTGGCTGGTTTCTAAGGATATTTTTGCTCAAATTGTGTTCTTTCTTACCAGTTTTCCTTTTTTTCCAACTTGGAATAATTTATGGATTTAAATTTTCTTTTCCATTAACTTGCTTAGTATTACTTAATCCTATTTTCTTGTGCCACTTGACAGATTTTACTTGAACATAAATCATTGCACCGCTTTTAACACATGTTGGATCTACATTTTGGCTAATATCATAAAGGAAGGAATATAAGCAAGGAACTGATTTCAATTTTGAAGCATGGTAATGCTTAGCAAATTTGTCTAATGCAGTATGAAACTGCAGACCACAACTTTTATAATCTGTTTTAATTTCTTCCAAAAAAACAACTAAAGTAGATGTGTTAATTTCAATCTCTTCATTTAATTTATTCTTTTCATCTAACTTTTCTAAAAATTTGTTATAAGTAATAAAGTTTAATTGATAGTTGCAATTTAAAGTCATTTCATTTTCATCATATGATTCTATTAGGACTCAGAATTCTCTAATACAGGTTATAAGTCACACTTTCAGGCAAACATGGCATAGCAACCTTTATCTTTATTAATTATTTATCGAACTTTATAATTTTATATACAAGAAAAAGAAAATAAAATAAAATAAAAAACTAACTAAAAACAAAGCTATATAGTCTCCTAAAAAGAAATTATAATTAAAAGAAAATTCAAAAAGAAAAATCGCTAATACTAACACTTCCTAGATCTTCTCCCTTGATATATTCCAACCAAAGTAGAAGCAACTATGCTAACAAAATAACAAATGACACATCCATTATTAAAATCGACACTCTATCCTGCAAAAGCTATTATTAAGTAGCAATGTTAAATGACTCATAAAACTCGAAATGTGATTAAACTAAGATAATTCATATTGCATCAAGTTCTTCAACAAATCAGTTCTAGAGTCACGTGAATCAACATGGGTCAGAGGTGGTAAAGATAAGTAAGGAAGATATGAAGATTTGGACAAACCTTTAGACCTTGAAGAGTATTTAAGTTTTGAAGTGATGTTCATCACATATTCTCATAATCCTTTATAATAAGAATGTAGATTCCAAATTCGTTTCCAAAATTTGTTAATAAAGTTGTTAGGGGCGTGCCAGAAATCACGTGATTATGTTCAATTAGAGACCTGACCCCCCCTACCCACCATGTGATTGAATTCTGATTGGCTAAAAAAATACATACAATATAATATATATATTATATTAATATATATATTATAATACAATTAGTTTGCTATCTAATAATCCAATTTGCATAAACTTTTTTTTGTTTTGTAGCTCCATTTATGCTTTATAAAATAAAAAAAAATTCATACTGCTAGATGGTGAAATAATTGCAAAAAAGCTTATTAATAAATAAATTACCATATATTTTATATTATAATACAATTATTTCACTATCCAATAATTCAATTTGCATAAACTTTTTTTTATTTTGTAGCTCTCTTTATACTTTATAAAACAAAAAAAAATTCATTAAAATTGGACTTTTAGATGGTGAGATAATTGCAAAAAAAGCTTCTTAATAAACAAATTATATATTATTTACTATAAAAGATATACTATTACCATAAAAGGTATATTGTGACACCTGATTGCAAGACCTGACCCCACCCACCCACTAAATCATGTAATTTCTGGCACGCCTCTTATGAATAACAGCAATTACATTTATGGCAGTGAAATGAAGAATATCAAAATTCTCAAATACTTCCAGGAAGGCAGAAGGCAAGCAACCACGAACCAGACTATAGGAGAACCAGTTGCCAAATGAGAAAGACCAACAGGGAGAGAAGTAGTTCTATTAATTTAAATATAAGTGCTTAAATTTGCTATCCAAGTTGCGCTGAAAGGAATAAACCTTAGCGCATTCTTTGTTAATAGTGGCTTTATCAGTAACAGTTACAGGGAGGGGAGAAGAAGACCCGCCTACTATTAAGATAGGTCACCCTGTAGCCTAAGGTAAAGTTTACATATAAAACTCTTTGAAGATCCTACTATAAAAGGAAATTTTATATTATATTATTATGATTTTTTTCCTTTTTAGTCAATTAACTAATAGAATTTAAGCAAATTCTAAAGTAAGATTTCATATGAAAGTGAAATTTCTACTAGTAACATATCTTAGTAGTAGGCAAGGTCCTGGGAGGAGATATAGGAGCGTAGCTGAAAACTGGGATTAATGGTAATAGAAAAGCATTACCAGAAGAAATTAAAGGTGAAGAAGGTTGACTGGAATGTGTAATATTAGGGGGGACATGTGAGTTGTCATCAATCAACATTTGTGAAGAGTCACTAGGATCAGAAACTGAAACATCATCGTATTTATGACCAAAAACATGTTTTTCAAGTCAGAATATTCTTTGATCAGCTAGTTCTAGTGCATGAACCCTAGCACAGACACTAGCCAAATCTTTTTGGAGGATTTCAAGTACAGACAAGATTTCTTGGATTTGCAAGCAATTTGGATTGACCAAAGGACGGTTAGAATTGACAAAATGGGAAGAAAGCGTCCCATTAGGTTGTGTGTTGGAAAAGAAGACAGAACGGTCTTTGCTTTTTTGTTCATTAGACTTTGGTCGATAGGAAAAATTAGTTTGGCCTAAAGATTGATTATGGCCGGAAAAGAGAACATTATCATTGTAATCAGGTTTACTGGATGAGTAGCTGCGTTGGTGAGAATTAGAGCGATCTTTAGATTGAGAATGGAAGCGCTGTTTATTTTAATTAGTTAAAGAATTTTTAGAAGGTTGACTAATATTAAACCATTCTTTGAGCCGAGCAACAGAATTACAAGTACATGAATGGCTTCTAGAATTGTTCATTACGCAAGCGATAGGAGCACATCTGAGTTTACCGCATCTGTGGCATAATTTGTTAGTATTTTGCAGAAGTTCCCAGGTGAATCTACGTCCTTGTAGAGCAATTGATTGTTTCATGGTGGTATCCATCATTTGTTGTGATTTGAAGGTGATGTAAGTCCATTTTTTCAGCTTATACGAGTTGAGAGATAAGGGGACATTAACAGCCATAACACCAATTTCACACATTAAAAATGCTAGATGAATATCCTTAGTATTTGGAGGAAGCTGCAATAAAATAGCGATAAATTCACAACAAGATTTCTTCTGATCTACCGTAAGAGAACAAGGGTGATCTGTAGACAAGTGGAGTAGCAATAAATAGCCCATTATTTATTAACAAAGTGGTTAATCAATGAAGTATTGTCGTAGATAATGTGTGTTTGCTGAACTTTAGCATTGGCATGGATATGTAGGCGGCAAGATTGAATATTCCCATATTTCTTAAAGAGCACAGTGATGTTGTTCTTTTTAATGAAGAACAGGATATCGGTAACTTGGATGGCATGGAGTAGTGTTTGGAATCATGAAACAGTTATTCGAATAACTCGAGTATATTCGAGTATTCGAATAAGCATAGTGGTTATTCGAGTATTCATTTAGCCATATATAGTATAGTTAAAATTCTAATTGTGCATTAAATCCTTAAATTTAACTGAGTTAAAATCATAATTCAGGCTAAAAATTATGTAAATCTTTACTATAAAAGGAAATTTAACTTATTCGAATATTATTCGAATACACTTTATAAATTTAAATGAATACTCGAGTATATTCGAATATATTCGATTCTAAACACTAGCATGGAGATCTTCATTAGTACAGAGTTGCTGCGGGTTATACAGATAGAATTAAAGATTTGCAAGATCTTTATGTAAGACAGAAAGACATGCGTTTTGTTCAGTAGATGAGTTAAAGTGAATAACCAGTCTTTTTTGGTCTCCAGAACCAGAAATGCGAGCACGGCCAATATAGAAGTGATATGTTTCCAAAAGGAGATTTTTAACAGCATCAATCATTGCTCTATTGGTAGGATATTTTTTAATAAATTCAGAGAAAGCATTAGGCACTGCAGCAGCCTGAAAATTGTACCTAAGAATGGTAATGATAGGCGTGTCGTGGGAAAGGGCTAGTATCATTAGTTTTCATAATATATATCCTTATTAGGAGACATGTCTAGAGAGGAGTTTTCTTTGTCTTTCAGAGCATGCATGGACACGTCTGTACCAGACATGTTATAACCTGGCGCAGAGGGTGTAGCAGAGTCCTTGGGAGGAGAAGGAGACAAAGAGTTGTCAGTATTCTTTGGTTGAGAAGGTGTATCACTATTGCCTCTAATGTCAGCTGCTGAATCAGTGACGTAGTCTTCTTTTATAGAGTTTTCTAGGGACGTATGGGTAAGCTTAGAAGGGTTGTTTTTATTGTTTGGATTTTCAGTGTCAGAGTTTGAAATATCAGAACCAGAGTCTTCCATTTTTCTTGTCGCTTAGCAAGACCCTGTTAAGGTTGTTGCCAGCTTTCTTGTTACTTTTACCAGTTATGTAAGTTGAAAAAATAAGAGTTGTATTAGTATGAAGAGTAAAAATTTCTTCCGTGAAATTTTTGTCCAAGGATCTACAAGAATGAGTTTAGCAGATCGGGATCAAGTCACACTTTCAGTAAATTGATCCATTTTTTAAGGGCTCAAAAATCGTATTTTGTAAATATCTCAGCATCCAGTGATATTTCGATAAACTTTTTTTAAATTGTAGATCTGAATGAGGACTACAAAATAAAAAAAGTTCATTAAAATTAAATCACTGGATGTTGAGATATTTACA